CAGTTTCATATAAGGACATGGAACAAGAGATATCATTGCTGACCTCAGATGGATATTGGCTGAAAGCAGAGAATACCAGAAAGATGTTTATCTTTGCTTTATTGACTATGCAAAGACTTTCGACTGTGTGGATCATGATAAGCTATGGAAAACATTGCAGATAATGGATATTCCAGAACACTTAGCTGTGCTCATGAGGAACCTGTACATAGACCAAGAGGCATTTGTTGGAACAGAACAAGGGGACACTGAAAGGTTTAAACCAGGAAAGGTGTATACCAGGGTTCTATTCTTTCACCATATTTATTCAATCTTTACACTGAGCAAAAATCCTGAGAAACAGGTTTATAAGAAGAAGAATGCGACATCAGGATTTGAGGAAGACTCATTAACAACTTTTGATATGCAGATAATACAACCTTGTTTGCTTGAAAGTAAAGAATACTTAAAATATTTACTGATGAAGATCAAAGACCACAGCTTTCAGTATGGGTTGCACCTCAAGGTAAAGAAAACAAAACTCCTCACCATTGGACCAAAAAATTACATCATGATAAATGGAGAAAAGATTGAAGTTGCCAAAGACTTCATTTTGCTTGAATTCATTATCAACGCTCATGGAAGCAGCAGTTATGAAATCAAATGGCATATTGTATTAGGCAGATATGATGAACAAGACCTCTTTAAAGTGTTCAAGAATAAAATGTCAGTTTGAGGACTAAGATATGACTAGCCCAAACCAAGGTATTTTCAATAGCATCATATACATGTGAACGTATAATTGAATAAGAAAGAGTGTAGAAGAATCGATGCACTGAGTTATGGTGCTGGAGAAGAATATGGAGCGAATACCACAGATTGCCAGAAGAACAAACAAGTACTTCCAGAATGCTCCTTAGAGGTCAGGATGGTGAGACTTTATCTCTCACATTTCAGCTATGCTGTCAGGAGGGACCAGTCCCTGGAGAAAGACATCATGCTTGGTTAAGGTCAGCAAAATGAGGAAGACACCCATCGGATGGATTGACACACAGTGGCAGCAACCATCGTGAGGATGGCGCAGGACCGGGCAGTGTTTCATTCTGTTGTACGTAGAGTACACCTAACAACAACCACGTGTCGTTTAGTTCTGGTGTGGCACTGTAGGATGAGCACTGGACTGAGAATCACACGGTCAGCAGTTCAAGCCCACTGCTCCGAAGGAGAAAGATGAGAGGTTTTCTGCTCCCACAAAGATTTACAGCCTAGGAAATCTTATATAGGGCCACTTTAAGTCGGAACCGACTCAACAGCACCTAATGAAACAAGAAAGGGTCTTGTAACTTCCTAAAAATATAATGCAGTTAAAAATCATTCTGGAGTCTGGAAACACGGTTTACAAAAAGCTTTCTAATGTTATAAAAAGGAATCGGGATCATATATTAATATATCATGACTCATGATTTGCCTCAGAAAAACGACATCTCTGAATCCTAGGGAGCCTTTAGATGGAATTTCCCAGCATTGCAGTATGAGTGCCTGCCAAGGTGCTTCTGCCATGACAGATCACACAATTTCAAGCCCCTATTAAGAACAGGGTCTACATGGAAAGACGAGAATCCTGCAAGATCATAGGCTCCTCACTTACTGGCTTGGGCATCTTAGTGTCTTGATGTCTACTCAGTAACCTTGCTTTCAGCCATTGTGATGACTATGACGCACACCCTCCCAGGAAGTAGGGAAGTGTTTGGCTTTACTTAAATGAAGGAAGTTGAATCCTGATGATGGGAAATCAGGATTAGAACCGGATGCTCCCAGGAATGACATCAGTCACTCAGGCCCTTTCTGATGGCCTGTCACCCCGTGAAGATGCTGTAAATGAGAAAGTGAAGCAGAGGGGCAATGCGGATACTGTGACAAGCAGGAACTTCATTCTTGTCAGTCCTGGATAGTTTTGTGGACTTTCCTGAAATAGAAGGACAAAGAAGCCTCCACTTCTGTGTTGGCTGGATTTGGGTTCCTGTGATGTTGTGCTGAATTTTGTTCAATGTTTTCATGTATGGTGGACAAGTAGTGTTCTACCTCCCAGACCTACAGAATGGTTATTAATAAAAGAACATCATTTATGACATCCTCTGGCTCCTATTTCCCTTTTGAACTGGCTACTGTCAACCTATCATCTCCATGGCAACATGGATGCGATGCCCACTTCTACCTGTCCCTGTCCTCACTTGTCACATGCCCATATCATAATCACAGAGCTTTCACAATAGCCAAAAAGACAGGCACTTAAAAAATAAATAAAACCTTGGCCAGAGAAAACAGCTATTGTCTTTTTTTAACCACTAAAAAAATACCACTGAAGGGCAGGCAGAGTCCTAGTGTGGCACTGCAGGATGAGCTGGTATCCCCAAGATCAGTGTTTTCAACCCCAGCATCCACTCCTTGGGAACTCTATACAAGGTCACTATGAGTCAGGACCAAATCAATGGCACTTAACAGCAACCACAAAGGACAAATATGAAACACAAAATAATTTTCTAAATGTTCCAAACTTGAAAAGTCTCCAAATGTAGGAAAATTCACCTCAAGAGCTAGATGAAAGTGTTGAGTCTTTCTAAGAACAAGTTCGACTAGAGCCCCACACACACAGCTTCTGGGAGCAACACTGTAGTGGATAAGCAGCCTGCGGTTGAGTCCTGGTGTTTCAGAATTCAGTCTCTAGAGATGAGCCTCACGGCAAAGCAAGAACCATAATTCAGAGCATTTCACAGAAGCCTGCAAGATATTTACCAGGGGTAGACTTGGGCATCGATTTTCATCTGACAAACAAAACATTTTCCTGAACAGCCTTGCCAAATAAGAATTCATTAAGTTCAGTTCTTCCATTGTTGTGTCTAGTTTCTCTCTTATGGAAGAAGAAATTCACTTACCGATCTGCAAAAGTGAACTAACAGGTTGCTCATGGACACTGTGATTTAGTTGGGCATAATTAAAATTAAATTGCATGCCTCCCATGAGTGAAGAGCATAGACACTTTCTTGGGGTAGGTGAAAGCTAAATTAAGAAGTTAGCAACATCATTCATTCTGTCAATTTCAGCAGCGGCCTGTCCAGCCATAGCAAACTTTATCTCCATCCCTTGATTTCCCATAGTCAGGACTCAAGCCCAGGTGGGATTTTTTGTTGCACTTCCATTTTTCCCTTACTCATCCTCAACTCTACACAGCCAGCAAAGGGAGAAAAAGAAAAACAGGGGAGTTTGAAAACAAATAACAAAGAGACTTTGTCATTACCTCTGGTCATTATACTTTAGGGCTGGGGATGGGATGCCCAAATACCATCATGAAGGGTGATTCAATGCCAGACTCCTAAACCTCTGGGGAAAGACCAGCTTTTGGAGCTACAGCAAACCAGGACTGACTTAAAGCAGAAATAATATGGTACTGGCTTCCCGGCCCTGCTGGTGCCGTGGTACGAGCTCAGCTGCTAACTAAAAGGTTCCTGGTTGGAATCTAAATTTAACTGGGTGGCATTGAGTTTGGTTTTTCATCCAGCTTCTCAGCTAACCATCCCTTTGGCTTGCAAAGGTTAACTGATGTAAGCTTTTTTGGCTTCTTCACAAAAATTATGAAAGATGCTGGAAATTTTACTGGCTGGCGACTGGCCCAGAAAATGACCACATTCTCTAAGCTCCCCCAAAGACCTTTTAAAGAAGTGTTAATTCTCTGTTAGACTTCCGTAAGCCTTAAGTACTGCCTTCTTCTTGAAAGTCTGGGGTGTATCAGCTCCTGGGTTCACTGTGTCCCCCATAAATCACAAATATTGCCATCCTAGGGCAAACGATTCTTTGAACAACCATGAAAACTACTCTATTCCAGTCGGGAGCTCTGAGAGGACAGACAACACAGAGGAGCTGAGGGTCAGTTTGTTCCAGCTCCACTCCAGCCCTTAAATTCCTACTGGATATCCAGACCTGTGAACGACTGATATCTGAATTAGCAGGCACCTTTCCAACACAGCCTCCCCAGCTCCTGAAACCAAGAACATCATGAAACACACGCGCACAAGCACACCCTAAATCTCCTTAGAGAGTTGACAGCGTCTCAAGAGTTGGTGGAATTGGCTTTATGAAAGTACAGGGTAGGTTTTTGGGGATAACTGCACGCTTTGTACTCGCAGGGGATGGTGTTAGGAGAGGCCGAGATCCCAGGGTGATGTTAGGAGGGCGTGAGAACTTGTCCCTGCCTCCCAGCTGCCCCAAAACTGAGAGTAAGCGCTCTTCACCTGCAGCGCTGTTCTCGCCACCCCGACTTCGGGGACAGGGACCCTCCAAATCCATGCAAGGAGAACAGGAGTCTTTGGCCAAGAGAGGGAAGCTAAAGAACCCGCGATGTCGCGGGTCTAGAGAGGAGAAGAGAGGAGCGGGACTCTCAGAACGCATAGAGGTCGGGGAAGCTCGGCTCCCAGAGCACGGAGCCCTCCAGGGACAGACGGCTAGACAAACGGTAAGGGACAGACAGACTTTGCAGAAGGAGAAGAGTCGAGGGAATCCAGAGAACCGCAAGCAGAGATGGGAGGTGAAGGTGCTGACCAATGCCCGAATTTGAAACTCTGACGAGCGCCCCGAGACCGGCTACCCGCACCTGTGGCTGTGCTGAAGCGCTACCCGAACTCCATCTGGCGGGCCAGCAAACCGGTCCCCTCTCCCTAAAGTTGTTCAGGAAGGGACCTTGAGGATAGGGCTAGAATGAACTGACCAAGGAGGCGTCGGGTCTCCTGCAGTGTGGTCCGGGCAGCGGCTCGCAGCCTCGAGCGCCCTGGGGAAGAGGGTGGGGAAAAGGACCAAGGACCGCAGCAAGAGAGGGACTGACGGGCTCCCTGGGCTGGGATGAGCAGCGTGGAGTTTGGGGAGAACCGGGTAGAGGATCCGAGCACAACCAGCACCCGGAGCCGGTCCCTGGAGACACCTAAATGGGGACCCCGGGCTGCTCCCCGAGACGAGCGCGCGGAGATACTCACCTACCGCCCAGTGGTTGCCGCGCGGGTACATCTTTGCCAGCACTGGGTCTCCGACCATCGGCGCGGGTGCCGTCTGTCCCCGGGGCGCGCGGCTGAGGACCAGCGCCAGCAGGACGAGCGGGAGCTCACGACCGCACATGGTCCCGCGGGGAGTTCGGCGCGGGGCAGGTCTGGCGGGAGCGCGGGAGCAACCGGACTTGGGAGCGCAGCGGCCGCCGTGCCACCTCTCCGCCGTGAGACTTTATATGCCGCCCGGGCGGGGCGGGGGGCTCGGCATCGCGGACCCAGCGCTCTGACGTCTCCCTCCCGCGTCCCCGAAAACCATCCATCTCACGCCAAGTGATGACAGGGCGGGGTGTACGCTGCCCCCGCTCCCTGCCCCTGGTCGGTCCCCACCGGAATTTATCCCTCCCCCTCCCCAGCCTTCGCGCCAACAGTGAGTGATGTGCCTCGGGCGCTCTCGTTTTAGTTGCTATCTGCTCCCGCCAGGGGGCGCGGTGACTCCGCGGCCTGATGACCAGGGTCAAGACAGGGTGGGCCCCTAGGATAGCGGTTTGGAGCTGGGCTCTGCTGGAGGGCTTAGGAACCGTGATTGAAGGGGACTTCAGATTCTACACAGGTCCCTGTGTGCTCCAAGTGGTTTGCAGTCGCGGTGCTGCAAAAAGGCTTGACAATCTTCTGTAAAGATGGTTGTTGTTGTTGTTAATTGCCATAGTGTCAGTTCTGACTCATAGTGACCGAGGAGCAGCTGGTGAGCTTGAATGGCCGTCCTTGCAGTCCAGTGCTTTAACCCACAGTGCCACACAAGATTGTTGCCAAGACAATCCTATGAGTAATTGTATTCTGTAACTCTGAGTCCTTCTAGCCTCCACAGGGAATGGGTTTGTGTGTGTGTGTGTGTGTGTTGATCCCCCAGAGCTTCCTCCTCCATGGCCTGCCAACCCACCACCCCAACCCATAGATCTCCAGATTGGCCTCCTTTTTACAGAACACACACATTCACTCTTACCACCATCATGGTACCTTCACCCACCCCGGTTTTCAGCGATGCTCCTGCCAGAAGATGGAGCAAATCTGTCTCTATAGAAGTACAACCAGAATGCTCTTTGAAAGGGAAGATGGTGAGATTTTGTCTCAAGTACTTGGGACATGTTATCATGAGGCACCAGTCCCTGGAAAAGGACATCAGACTTAGACAAAGTTGTTGTTGTTGTTATGTGCTGTGGAGTCGGTTCCGACTCATAGTGACCCTGTACAGGGTTTCCTAGGCTGTAAATCTTTATGGGAGCAGAAAGCCTCATCTTTCTCCCGCGGAACAGCTGTTAGTTTCAAACTGCTGACCTTGCGGTTCGCAACCCGATTCGTAACCACTATGCTACCAGAGCTCCTTAGACAAAGTTGTTGTTGTTGTTAAGTGCCGTCAAGTCGGTTCCGACCCATAGCGACCCTGTACAGGGTTTCCAAGGGTGTAAATCATTACGGGAGTAGAAAGCCTCATCTTTCTCCCGCAGAGCGGCTGGTAGTTTCAAACCGCTGACCTTAAGGTTCACAGCCTGATTCGTAACCACTACGCTACCAGAGCTCCTTAGTGGACCACAAAGAGGAAGAGCCTCAACTAGACAGACTGACACAGTGGTTGAAACAATGAGCAACCAAGATTGGGTTGTGAGGACAGTGCTGAAACAGGTAGTGCTTCCATCTATTGTACATAGGATCTCTGCGAGTCAGAGACAACCACCTGCCCATTTGTATGAGATGGAGGATGGAGTAGGAAGGACAAGCTCTGTGAATAGAGTAAACAGTACTTTTATTATACACATCCTTCCTTTCATAAGCATCCACATAATGGATGAGGAAGCTGATTCCATCCCCACATCCCTACCAGGAAGCTCCAACTGTCCCTAATGGACTGCCACACATCTTGTTAGGGTTGCTTAACTTTCCTCTGCTATTTTCTAATATGAAGAATGGTCACTGGTCCAACTGCTGAGGTTCTAAATGCCATGGAGACTCAGAGGATGGGCGCCATGGCAATGCTACAATAAATAGAAGCTGGTAGGATGCTGTTGCCCACGGTTTGGCTGCGGGAGCTGGTGGTGTGCCTGCAGGCATGTCCCTCACCCAGCGCTGGGAGTTACCTCTTTGGTGGATCTCTGGGGCTTCATGTCAACACAGTGTTGACCGTTGAAATTGGGCATGCTTTTCACTGACTTTCTGGTGATTGAAAACATTGTACTATTATTGGATGACTACACATGCACGTTGAATGCTGGGTACTCTCTGTCTAAGAAAGGTATCTCTGTGTTATGAAGTTCTGGTGTGGTGCTGTGGAATAAACACTAGACCGCAAGGTTGATTTCAACTGCGAAGTCAGAGGTTCAAACTCACCAGCTACTCCATGGAAACACTATACAGGGTCACTGTGAGTCCTACCCAACTCAACAACACTTAACAACAACAACAATCTAGCTGTAAGGAATTCTGGTGTGGTGTGTGGGCTGCGAGGTCATTTTGAAATGCAAGGTCGACAGTTCAAATCCACAACTCCTCAGGGTTGTATGAGTTGGAATTGATTTGATAGCACTTAACAAGAACATCTGACTATAAAGGAAAAAAACACAAAACAAAACACTTTTTGCTGACTTTATGATCACCAGAGCCCTGGTGGCATTGTGACTTACACACTGGGCTGTTAACCTCAAGGTCGGCAATTCTAATCCACCAACTGCTCCAGAAAGATGCAAGTTTCTGCTCCTGTAAACACAGCCTTAGAAACTCTATACAGGGTCGTTATGGGTCAGAATCCATTTCACAGCACACAACTACCACCACCATTAGTAGCCACGGGTTCTGGTGTAGGATCAGCACCAGACTACTCACCATAAGGTTGGTGGTTCAAATCCACCAGCCACTCCTCAGAAACCCTATACAGGGTCACTTTGAGTCAAAACCAACTTCACAGCACTTAACAACAACATGAATAGTTAAGGAAATACAGTAATCCCTTAGAGAATGATCCAAGAGGAAATCCAGAAGGAAACGCTCACAACTGGTGAAACACTGTCCACTCCCTTTACCCACTTCCTCCCCCATCCCATCTCTGTTCCCATCCCCAGGCTGTGTCAGTAAACAGGGGCTCCATTGTCTGAAATAGTTGGTTTGCTGCTCCCACATGGCAGGGAGCTTGCTTCAACAGCGACCTGCTATTCCTCTGAGTGGCTGCAGAATGCATGGATTTTTTTTTTTAAGTTTTTTTTTTTTTAAAGATTCCGACTCAGTGACCCTATGTTGTTGTTGTTAAGTGCCTTCAAGTCCGTTCCGACTCATAGCAACACCGTATAGAGTTTCTGAGGGCTGCAAATCTTTATGGAAACTGAAAACCTTATCTTTTTCCCTCGAAGTGATTACAGGATTCAAACTGCTGGACTTGCGGTTAGCAGCCCAACTCGTAATCCACTGTTACCAGGGCCTATGTTGTTGTTGTTAAGTGCCGTCGAGTCAGTTCTGACTCGTAGCTACCCTGGAAAGGATTTCCAAGGAGCAGCTGGTGAATTTGAACCACTCACCTTGGGATTCAAACTGACCTTTCAGTCCAGTGCATTCTCTTGCAGTACCACACTAGGACTCCAAGGCTGTAATCTTTCTGAAAAGGAGCCCTGGTGGTGCCATGGATTAAGCATTCAGCTGACATGTCAGTGGTTCAAATCCACCAGTAGCTCTGCAGTAGAAGGATGAGGCCATGGGACAGGTCTCTGTCCTATAGAGTCCCCATAGGTTGGAACAGACTCGATGGCAGTGGATCATCTTTACAGAAACAGACAGCCAAACCTTTCTCCCTGTTGAGGGTGGTGGGTCTGAACCGCCGACCTTTTGGTTACTGTGATGTTCAAAACATGTTGGATGAAAGAATAACTGATGTGAGACGTGCTCAGGTCTAGATGTCTTCCACAACACCAAGCCATGGAGGACCCTTAAATCCTAACCCCCCAGATGTAGTGGGGGGAAAAAAGTCATTTCCCCTTAATTCAATCAAGATTATTTTAGAATCTTTTAAATAGAGTTTCCCTCAGCAAAACAGAGGGGGAATCACTTGTAAAAACATTGAAGCGTAGAAACAATTCTACAGAAAGCCAACTGTTCTACCAATTCCAGTGACTTCACTGTTTCCCGTGTTCACTGCAGGCTAAGAGGTACCCGGGGCCTCATAGTAACCTCTGATCTGACTGTAAGCACCCCAACACAAGGCTTTCTGTCCTAGGACACAGATGTGGCATGTGGCTTGTTGGACACCCCATGGGGACAGTAACCATCTAGATCTTATTCAGGGCCACAGTCCTCTTCCTGGCCCCGTCTCAGTAGATAGGCATTGTCCTGTGGATCTAGAAGCCCGAGTTCGGTCTCCTAGCCAGAAAAGAGGATAATTGTCACATGTTAGCAAAACAAAGAGCTTTGATTAAGTTAGTACTGGATGAGCCACAGCCAGTCCTGGTTGGCTGTCTTCTTGTTGTGTCTTTTAACATCTTCATCACAGCCATGCCAGGCAGAGATGGTTAGTCCCACAGATTTAGCTAAATATGTTTCTATTCCCTTGCTACATGGCCAATGTGTCCACCCCAGAACCCTTCATAAAGAGACAACTTTTCACATAAGGACCCCTGGTGGTGCTATGGGGTAAGTGTTGGACTACTACTAACCAAAAGGTCGGCAGTTCAAATCCACCAGCCACTCTATGGGAGAAAGATGTGTCCGTCTGCTTTCATAAAGATTTGCCATCTCTGTCTGCAGGTTTGCTGTGAATCAGAATTGACTAGATGGCCCTGTGTTTCACAGTCTTCTGACTTCTGCCTGAGTGTTAATGGTTGATTCGAGCAAAATAAAGTCTTTGAGAGAACAGAAATTCATTTGCTCACAGTTCCAGAGGCCAGAAGTCTGAATTCAGGGTGTCGGCTCTAGGGAAAGCTGTCTGTTGCCTACGGTGGACAGTCCATGTCTCTGCACTGTAGCCCCTGTAGTTCTCACTTCCTTGATGAGCTTCCCATAGCGTCCATGATTCCTCATCTGTGCTGGCTTGTGTCTGTGTCCATGCCGCTGCTTTACAACCCAGAAGTGATCAGGTTTCAGGCACACCCTACCGTGATA